TCACTGCAGGCACAGGCTGCTTCATGGCAACCTCCCGCACCTCTCTTTCTCCCATGCTGCTGCTTCTGATACAAACAGCATCACGCACCTTTAACATATGAAGAAAAGGTAAGCACCTAGCATCAGCTGAAATCTAAAATATGGTTAATTGATGTCTCTCGATTAAATCTCCACACTGTACAAAGTTAAATTTCAGTTATTTATGTTAAAGCACAGAAGGGAAAAGACAATATTTGAAATTAGATCTTCTTATCCTCTTAACCGTGGGATGTAGCAGAGGCCTTTCCATACTGTTGGTCTGGGCATTCATCACATGAGGATTCTGCAGCCTTTTAATGGGGTCAGTTAACTGCAATTTCCCTTGGTGACCTCTATTTAATATACCCTGCTTCAGGTCTTGCTGGTAAGGGCAGCTCTGTTTTGTATTGGCCATCTGCCAAACCGCTCTCAGTTCTCTCTCTTGCTTCTGCTGATACCCAGTAGATGGCATCAGTATAATATAGCATTTCTTCAATGCTTCCTTTAGTAAGAGGAATTAATTTATTTATTTAATTTCTTTCATGGATGGATTTGCCCTGACTTAATTTAGGACCCCTGCTTTTAAGAAATGTTTTAATATTACCAGCAAGAGTATAACATTGGGCGATCTTTCATCAGTGCTTTTTATTTATAGTGCCATACAAAAATTTCTACTTGTAGAGTGCTACAGTCATTTACCAAGAAATGAAACAAAATCCCAGAGTCTTCTAAATCAAGTGAACACAATTAATTCATGTTTTCATTATATCCAATGAAGATATCATTCTTCACTTCCAATGACTCTTCAAATCTAGGCTTATTGGGTAGTCGAGTTGATGACTCATATTTCCTTCCTCCCCCTCACTGCCTCTATATCAGAGGCAGCAAAATTGTATCGACTACACGATTACCCAATTACTTGGAGTAGTTGTTTGACGTTCAAACTGATGTGAGTATAAATCTTGGATGTGAAAGAAATACATTACTTTCTCTTATTTTACACTAGCTGACTTATCCACCATTGCCCAAGTCCTTTGGGGCAGAGGGCTGGCAGTGTGAGGGTACAGGAACAGGGCAGGACTCTGTGAATGTGGGGGCAGGGGAGAGTGCAGGAGGCAGGAGGTCCAGGGGAGAGAGTGTGGGGGTGAGGATGGACTCAGGAGAGGGGGGGTCCCATCCGGCACGGACATTTTCCCTCTCCCCAGAGCCCCACCCCCAGCCACCTGGGTGTTTTCTCTCTCCCCCATTTACTCCTGCCTTCCAGGAGTGTTTTCTCTTTCCCCAGTTCCACCCCCAGCTACTAGGGGCATTTTCTCTTTCCCCAGTTCCACCCCAGCTACTAGGGGCATTTTCTCTCCCCTGTGAAGGATGCCCCCTCCCCACCGTGAAGGGTGTTTTCTCTCCCTCAGCCCCTGCCACCAGGGGTGCTTTATCTCCACCTCATCCCCCTCTCCTCCCACCCCTGGCTGCCAGGGAAGTTCTCTCTCTTCCCATTGGAGTAAAAACTAAGTGTGCTTCTTCCCCTCATTGCTTAAGCTCGAAACAGCACGTATCATTTAGCTGATTGTGCATGCCTCAGAAGCTGCTAAACTTTCTGCTAGCTCTTTCCATATAAGGGAACTAAGTAAACTTGCAGTAACCAATCACGTTGCGACATGTGGCCAGAAGGAATGTGGAATCCACAAAAGTTTCAGCTCAGGCTTTGCCCAGGGTCGACTTTGCTTTGAGCACAGAGCTCCTCTGTTGACCTTGTTTGCAAACAATAAAATGGAGTTGGACCCAGCCTGAAAGTGTGACTCTCTTCTTGAGGCAAATTGGACTAGCCTCCAGGGGACGAAACTAGCAATTTATGCAACACCATTCCTCCCTCTGACAGCTAGGGGCATTCTGTCTCTCTCCAGCCCTGCCTCCTCCAGGGCACCAGGGGCATTTTTTCTCCCTTCTGTTTGGCGCAGTGGCCAAGGTCCAGAGAGGCCGGGAGTGTTTGGGACAAGGTGGTTCCTTACCCAATGCACTGGTAGCCAAGATGGCAGAGCCCAGCACTGCTGGCCATTCCCTTGGCAGTAAGGCTACCACCAGTGAACACTCCGCAGAATAGCTCCCTCCTGTGGGTTCACTGCCCACAATGGCCATTCATATCGCAGCCTTTCAAACAGCAGCCCCTCCCTTTGCATGATATGGAAAGCAGTCCTTTTCCCAGGGCTTGTGGTTGTCCTGGCACAGCCAAACTCTGACCTTGCTTTAAGTTAGGAGAAGAGAAAGCTGCATATCAAATTTGGTGGTCCTAGCTCTTACCATTTAGGAGGAGTTCTTGAACAAAAGGATTCATAGACAGACACACAGACTGATGAACTCTTAGATAGACAGATCCAGTACCACCTGATATAGAAGCCAAAAATAAACAGCAAAAACGCACAAGGCAGACTTAGAATACGAGGAAAAAGGTTAAGAAATAAAGTCAATGTTTTCCACACACCACTGAAAATATAGATGGAAGGCAATAATCCTACGCTACACAGCTGGGTTTTTTTTTTAACAAACATTTACATCTGGCTCAAAAGTTGCTGTCTCACTTCCTACTGCTAATTTTCTAACAGAAATTAATAATCTTGAAAGTGGATGCTTAAAAATATTCTCTGTGTTAAAGAGATCAAGTTTACATAAGATAAATGTAATAGAATACTCACTGTAAATGGGAGACCCGCTTGGAGGCAGGATTGGACACCCAGAAGTGGAGTCCTGCTTTCAGGATATGGAGCTGGAAACCCAAGTTTCTTTATCTAACTTTGTGTGGGAAGCTCTGAGGACATGCTACAAGAACAAATTGATTTAAACAACGTTAGTGGCGAAGGCGTAACTCAAATCCACGTAGCTTAACCCTGTTTAGGGCAGGAGCCTGCACTGCAAAGAGTTGACAAAAACAACCACACCCTTCTCCTGACCTGTGGCGTTCGCCTACTGATCTCATTGGGCTCAAGTACCGGAGCAGACAGGAGAGGGATCGGCAGTTGATTTAGTGGGACTTTACTAGACTCTCTAAAATGACCACGGGGTGGATCGATCACTGATGCTGGCTCCACCGGGTACTGGGGGCAAGACCTCTGCCCCAGCTCTCCCACGCGGGTGCAGCCCCACTGCCCTACGCAGGAGCCTGTCTGGGAGTCCGTGGGGAGCGTATGTCGGGGGGGGCTGCGGGACGCACCAAGCCACAGGCGCTCTGGGACGCCTCAAGGCGGTGACAGGCGCCGCTCTGCTTTTCCGCGGCCCAATCCCCGCCTGCCGCGTCCCCGATTGCTCATGCGGGAGCCGCGCACGTGCCCCTGCCCCGTCTCCCCCCCGCTTCCGGCCATTCCCCCACAGCTGGAGCCCCCCGCCGCCCGCGTGGACTACACTTCCCAGCCTGCAAAGCGCCGGCGGCCGCGGGGCATGCTGGGAGGGTCTGTGGCGGGGACGCCGCGCTCTAGCGGCTGAGCGGCCGCGGGGGCGGAGTCTCCGAGCTAGGAGCGCGCGCGGCTTGAAAGTGCTACGGGCTGCGACCCGCGCGCCCTGGCTGAGCGGCCGGAAGGGAGCCTCTCGCGGTTGCCCCGAACGCCCCTAGGTGATGGATTGGGGGGGGAGGAGCGGCCCGGGGGCCGGGATCGAGGCAGGGGCTGCGCGTGCTGGCCCGGGGGCCGGTCTCGGCCCGGTGAGGGCGGTGCCGCCGCCTGCGGTTCCCGAAGCTCGGTGCCCCGCTCGCCCTGGCCGGGGCACGCGAGCCAGCGTGTCTCACGCCCCTTCCTTTGCTCTTCCCCGCGTGCAGTGAGGCCCCCGCCATGGGAATCCACGGCCTGCTCCAGTTCATCAAAGAGGCAGCCGAGCCCGCGCACGTGAAGAAGTACAAAGGGCAGGTGGTCGCTGTGGACACCTACTGCTGGCTGCACAAGGGAGCCTATGCGTGCGCGGAGAAACTGGCCCGAGGAGAGCCCACCGACCAGTAAGCGCCCTGCCTCCGTCTTGTCCTCCCGTCGGCTGTTTGGGGACGCTGCTGACTTGAAACTGCTTTTAACTTTCTTCTAGAAAACGGACTAGGTTTCATGTGCTGTAGCTGCCTTTGAATCCCCCTGCCAGTTTGTGTGGCTTTGTAACCAGGCACAAATGGGGAAATAGCAAAACGGAGTCGACACAAACCAAGTGCTGTCAAATACATTACTGATGTAAAGTATCAGAGGGGTAGCCGTGTTAGTCTGAATCTGCAAAAGCGACGAGGAGTCCTGTGGCACCTTATAGACTAACTGAAGTGTAGGAGCATAAGCTTTCGTGGGCAAACACCCACTTCGTCAGATGCATGTAGTGGAAATTTCCAGAGGCAGGAATAAATATGCAGGCCAGGATCAGGCTGGAGATGACCAGGTGGATCCAATCAAGGAGGATGAGGCCCACTTCTAGCAGCTGATCTGGAGGTGTGAATTCCAAGAGAATAGAAGCTGCTTTTGTAGTTAGCTGAGCACCCTGGGGGATGGGGAGGGCTGCCTCCCGCCCTGCTTAACTGGAATGACTCCTACCCCTGCAGGCAGAGGCTGCTTCAGCCTGCCAGAGCAGTCCCTGCCTGTGGGAGTGCCTGGCCTGTAAAATTCAGCTTGTGCCACTGGCAGTATGCCATCCTGTACAAAAATGACAGCTTATAAACAGTGTTGTATAACAGAATGACTAATGCTGAGTAATTCTGGCACCCCATATTGTGAATGAGATCAATCTCTTTCTGCACGATGCATATTTTTTATTATATTGGTTGTTGCTCACAATGAATCCCAAGGAAATATGCCTGCTTTTCAATTTTGTTATAAGATTCACTGACGTTGGAGATATGCTTTTGTTTTAGATTGAAATACCTATTTGTTTGTTTTAAAGTATTTTTACCCCGCCTTTCTATTTACAATATTTGAGGTGGCTTACAAAATTTTAAAAACTATATATCTATATAAAAAGTAAAATACAGGACCCCAAAGTGGGGTAGGGACATAAAACCTGCTAAAACACCTCAGGGGAGGTATACAAACACACACAACTAAACACCAATAAAGTATTAAATTAAATTATTAAAGTAGGTGGGGGGTGGGTATTGGGCATCAGTCAAAACTAGGCAGTTTGGGCTAACTTTGGTTTATTTTGGGTATTAGTCAAAACCTTTGTCATACTCTAATTTGATTCGTCCTCTTTCATAAATGGTGTATATTACATCTATTCTTTTCAGTCTAATATTTGCTGCTTTGGTTTCAGCTTGTCTAGTGTCTGTGCCTCCAGATGAAATGTTTATAGCTATTCCACTCTAAAAGCTTCTCTCTACTGATCTATATTGTGTGTTAGAGAAAACTCTGTGGTCAATTAAGACTTGAAAAATATTAGCTGACTATAAAAAATGCTGTATTAAGTTTTTAATAATATAGCCTTAAATTCTCTGGTAAGGTGGCCACTTTTCAGTCACAGGCAACTACATCTATAAGATGTGAAATGCTCCCTGTATGCCCATTGGACCGAATTGTATATTTCCATAGAAATACAAAGAAAATCAGGGGATTGAAGAAACATGGGAAGGTTAACATTGAAATCTCTTTGAAATGCTTACTCCAGAACAGATAGGTTTGGGGATGAGTGAAGGTGGGTTGTTCGTTCTAGACTGTTTCTTTGCTCTTACTTCATTTGAGGGCACTGTTAACTGTTCTGATCTATAGCAAGGTCATACCCTGCTCTTAGTCACCTTTCTCTCAAAGTGTCAGGATATAGGCACTGTTTGCATGTTTAATGCTGCGTTAAGGATTTTAGCATGGACAACCTAGTATTTATCCACCATCAGGAGTAATGGATGGATAGTGGCAAACATAAATGGTAAGCTTCCATTACCCTTTAATCATAAAACGCCACCATAAAGTAATCTGCAGAGTTTCAAGAAAATAAAACTGAACATGCACCCTGTCTCGGTTTGTTTGAGCATCATGTACTCATCTCACAGACATCAGGGAGATGATCTGTGCTGTGATTTATAAAATGATTTACAATTTGACCCTTCAGTGAAGTCTAACTTACTCTTTGGATGCACAAATTATTTGTGTAAAAAGAATTAACAGCAGTATTCATAGTGGACTGGTGTTCACTGAAAATGGAAAATAAGGATTCCTGTACAATAATAATGTGTGGCTTTTCTGGTCTTCCATTTTTTTTAAAAAAATTACAGCTCACTGACAGCTTTGAATGTTAATGATCATCAGCTTATGTTTGTTTTTCCTGCAAGTTAGAAGTATGTGTTTGTCTTAAAGTTTGTTTCACTGACAATAAATGGTTGTTTTCTTGTTTTGTAATGAGAAAAAATATATACTTACAGATATGTAATCTTCTGCATGAAACTTGTTGATATGCTCTTGTCATTTGGGATCAAGCCAGTTCTAGTATTTGATGGATGTACCCTGCCTTCTAAAAAGGAAGTGGAAAAGGCTCGAAGAGAGTAAGTAATGATCAACTTGCAAACAAATTATATTGTCTCTGCTCATTTTAAATTGTTTTAAAACATGGTAAATTCACTGTGCTTATCAAAGATTGCTTTAGTTTCTACATCTCTTACAATGTGGTTTAATAATTATTTCAATGCTAAGCCTCAACATTTTGTTTGGATATTTTAGAATAGAACTTCACTTTTAAAAAAATCTTTTAGAAATGGTGCAGAAGTAGATATTTTGGGCAACAGCTTCTCTCTTATTTGTAATCTGAAACATCATCTGTAGTTCTAATCTCCTTGGACAAATCCGAGGTATAACCATAGATTTGGTTAGTTGCCACTACAGTAATTGATGATTATTAATGATGGATCAACAAGGCTTTATTGAATCTGCATTATATTAAGATTTGAATTATGACTGGGTTTTAGATTCAGATTCTGATTTGATAATACTAATATCTTGTGAACTTGCTAGGTTAGCAATTTTCATTATTTTGCAATGGATAGAGGAACAGGACTCAATTATGCTAGGTGCTGTTTGGATGTAGAACAAACAGATGGCCTTTGCCCCAAAGAGTTTTAAATCTTATTAGGGCTTAGTCTCCTCAAATTTGGAAAATAATGAATTTTCAGTCTGGAAGCAATCACAATTCCCTCTTGTGTTCATTCTCCTTTGAAACCATCCTCAAAAGCCATGTCTGCCCTAATTTTCACTGTTCATCCCAAGGCCTACTGCCTGCTTCTTCTTCAGTCTCTGTAGCATTGTATTGCTATTTATAAGCATCACTACAAAATGATTCTCATTATTTGCACCAGTTTGCACCCCTTTTCCTATGCCCTTTCATATCTTCATATTCTTCATTTGTATAACATAGGTTTTGACCTTTTTGGAGAAGGAACTATATCAATCTTAATTCTTCATAAAGTGTCATGCAAATTATGATATGTAAATGTTGAATAATACTAATATATTGAGGGAGGTGGATATTTTTATTACCTTACAGAAAACGCCAGGCCAGTCTTCTGAAGGGGAAACAATTGCTTCGTGAGGGGAAATTATCAGAAGCCAGAGACTGTTTTGGGCGCAGTGTTAATGTTACCCATGCTATGGCTCATGAAGTTATTAAAGTAAGTTGTAAATTATATCTATAGTAGGTTTGCAGATGTCATCTACAGTAGGGATGTTAGATGATATGTATATTGAATAGTTGTGTAATGGCATGAAATCTTGGCAGTTACATGACTATTCGATAATCGATGGGGACTGCAGTCAGTACACTCCCAACCCCGCTTCCAGGGAGCCCCCTGCTGCTGCCTCTGATATAAGGACATGGGGTGGCAGCAGCCCCTGTCCGCGGGAGGGTCCGAGCTCCCCACAGACAGAGGCTGCTCTGCATCTCATGGGGTAGCCTCTGTCCATGGGCAGCTCCTCTACTCCCACCCCACTATGCTGCTGCCTTCCATGGACCTGGTGCGCATCCCTCCCCCCCCCCTTTTGTTGCCTCCTACAGGTGGTACCCGGGAGCTGGTGCTTGGGGGAATTGGCTTTTAAGCCAGCTTCCCCCAGGACCGGCTCCTGCCTGTGGGCCCCCCTCCCCCACTGCCTCTGAAGGAGGCAGCAAATGGGGGAGGCAGGTGGGGCTGTGGGAGCTGATATGCACAGGGAGCTGGCTCCCCACGCGTATTTGCTTCAGCCTTCCCACCTTGCCATCCACTTTGCTGCCTCTATCGGAGGCAGCAGTGCAAGGGGTTGAGGGGCAGGCAGTTCTGGTGCTCGTGAGAAACTGGCTTTTAAGCCAGCACCTCACCTCCCACCCTCTGACCCCTTTCTGTCTCTGATAGAGAGGCAGCAAGGGGAAAATATGTGTAGTCTAAAGGATTAACTAATCTACAGTTTTAGCAACTTCTCCACTGTGTTTACATCTTGTTCATTGCCCATATTTACATACTAGTCTTTCAACTTTCTCTCAACTTGTAGCATCATAATATAATACACCCTGAAGTGTATATTAAGCACATTTTTGACTGTTCAGCACACCAGATGGAGAAATCCATTCTCTGTTTTTCATTATGCCAGATTTTTTATAATAGGTCTGTGGCTGTCATTTACAGATACCTTTTAAATTTTAACTGAACCATTAAGTGTCCTTTCACATTTGACATTTTAGTATATATCAGTGGTACTCAGACCTCAGTGGCATTACCCAAAAGAGTCACATTAGAGTAAATTCATTGTTTCACTTACTATAGCATTATGCCTACTTAAACATGCACTATTTAAGTTATAATAAGTACTATTATTTTATCAACTACATTTGACTAGTAACACAGTGAAACCATCCTGACTGGTTAATAACCTAGATTAGTTATTAATTAAATCATAGTGTTTTAATAGCATGTGCTTCAAAGAGCTGCAGGAGACACACAAGCCATTTGTGGCTTGGGAGCCTCCATCTGAGTATCACTGGCATAAGTAAATGACACAGGAAATAATACTATTTTTTCATTTTTAGTTCGCAAAAAAACTGTATAAGGGAAAATTATGGATCACTTAAAAATGGCACAGAAGAGTATTATCGATCTTACATTTGTTCAGATCCTTTTTCTTTGAATAGAAGAAAATGGTTGGAATTGAAAAATAAACAGTTGTGATCAGGTCCAATAACTATGGATGAGATTGGAGGCCAGTATAGAAGTTATTTGTAAGCAAATGTTTGTTTGGTTTCTTTAATTTAAATTATTTATTATGAAACTTTTATGGCTAGATCCTTAGGTGGGTTTTATTTGTTTTGTTTTTGTGGTGTTTTGTGGTTTTGGGGAGGCTTTTCTGTTGTGTTTGGTTTAGCAGAGGATTTACCCAGCGTTGCTTGAGTCCTTAACTGAAAATTTTTGGGGTGAGGCTGTCGATGAGGGGTTCAGTATGCAGGCTACCCTGGGGGGAGAGGACAACTCCAACCCTCACTCACTGCAGCAGTTTGGGGCCAAATAAGAAGTGCCTGTCCATGGATGCTGCAGCAGGCACAGATGGGAGAGGAGTGCATGTCCTCTGACTGGGGGGACAGACTCAGACTCACAAGCAAACAAACTCTCTCATATATAGTAGACAGCTGTCTCTTTTTCCATCCTTGTTCCCTGCTGCCCCTGTGGGATTATAGCTGTTCCAGTCCCCCTCTCTGGCCCCTTACTGCTCCCATGGTCATTACACAGTATATCTCGCCCTACTAGGAAACCTCTCTTTCCATTTTATGAGAAACAATCACATTCTAGGCACGTCCCGTTGTCTTGGCACAACCAAACCCTTATTTTGACTTAAGTTGTTATTAGAGGAAGTTGCATACCAAATTTGGTGGTCCTATCTCTTGCCATTTAGAAGTTTTTGAACAAACAGACTCACAGACAGGCACACAAACTCTTTCAAATATATAGTAGATTTATTACTACATGGTTACATGGTAAAACTTTCAAAATTGCTTACCTTCCATTTTCAAAAGTGACTTAGGAGCCCGAATGTCATGAAGGTCAATGGGACTTAGGCTCCTTAGTGTTTAAAGGCATGCCTACACTACCACGTTTTGTCACCAAACCTGCCTTTTGGCAACAAAGCAGTGAGAGTGTTCATATTGCAATGTGACTTTCGTCAGGAAAAACCTCCAACTCCAGTGACAAAAAACTTCCACCCCTACCAGAGGCTTTTTTCTTTTCTCCTCCCTTTATTGTTGACACAGAGCCAGTGCAGTACTGTTTTTTGTCAATGTAACTGGCTTCCGCCAGTATCCCACAATGCCTGTCCAGTGTTTTGATCTCTGCTACCCTGCATGCATGCACTCCTCCCCTTTCAAATCTCTGGGGAGTCTCATCTGACAGATGAGCGAGCTGCTCATTTGGGGAACAAAGAAAGAGCAAATCATTGGAATGTTCCGGATCTGCCCTGCCCTAGGAGCACAGCAGCAGACAGACTGCAGCTGCAGGATTAGGGGGACAGATTGCTGTGCTGCTTTGACTTGCCCCAGCAAGTAGAGCTCACAGAGCTACTCATGATGCTGCTCGCTGAGTATGCTATGGGAAAGCTTGGAGGGAATCACTCTGCTTTCCACTACACTTCACTGAGAGATACATACCACACGCTGTTGTTGATGGTGCCCCCAGTGTGAATGTGATCTTTTGACAGAGGGAGCAAACGTGAACACCCTCTGACGAATTTTGTTTAGTCAACTCTCGGGCATGGACCAAATTGTGTCAATAAAACTTAGGTAATGTAGACTTAGCCGAAGTCATTTTTGAAAATGCAGATAAGGGTTACTAAGTCACTTAGGCACTTTTGAAAATTGTAACCACAATGCTTAGCAAAATAGGGCCTAAATCTGTTGGAGGCTTATATGCTGCTGCAGTTCAGTAATAATATTGTTGAGTTCCTTACATTTTTCTCTCCCTTGTTTATATACAGGCTGCCCGTGCCCAAGGAATTGATTGTATTGTTGCTCCGTATGAAGCTGATGCTCAGTTAGCCTACCTTAATAAAACTGGCATAGTACAAGCTATAATTACAGAGGACTCAGATCTTCTGGCTTTTGGGTGTAAAAAGGTAATGAAAAATAAATATAGTCCAAAGTCAAAGCATTATGCCAACTAATTGTCTATTTACACTTGCGACGTATGTAAGTACAATTATGAACTTACTTCATGTATTTTATGTACTTACTTACAATTATGTACCTTTAATAAGGCTAATGAAGAGCTTAGGGATAATGGCAACATAACAAATGGGAATAAGGTTATGGAGGCAGATATTATCAAATCCGAGGTAGAAGCCAAACTCGAACATCTTAATGGGAGTAAATCGGGGGCCCCAAATAATCTTCATCCAAGAATATTGACGGAACTGGCATATGAAATTGCAAGTCCATTAGCAAAAATTTTTAATGAATCTCTAAACTCAGGGGTTGTACCATTTGACTGGAGAATTGCTAATATAGTTCCTATTTTTAAAAAAGGGAAAAAAAGTGACCCGGATAACTACAGGCCTGTTAGTTTGACAACTGTAGTATGCAAGATCTTGGAAAAATTTTTGAAGGCGAAAGTAGTTAGGTTAATGGCAATTGGGACAAATTACAGCATGGTTTTACAAAAGGCAGATCGTGCCAAACCAATCTGATCTCCTTCTTTGAGAAAGTAACAGATTTTTTAGATAAAGGAAATGCAGTGGATCTAATCTACCTCCATTTCAGTAAGGCATTTGATACAGTACCACATGGGGAATTATTGGTTAAATTGGAAAAGATGGGGATCAATATGAAAATTGAGAGGTGGATAAGGAACTGGTTAAAGGGGAGACTACAGCTAGTGTAGACATACCCTATAGTTCCTCATGGATCAGTTCTGGGACCATTATTATTTAATCTTTTTCTTACTGACCTCAGCAGTAAACGTGGGAGTGTGCCTATAAAGTTTGTGGATGACACAAAGTTGGGAGGTATTGTCAATTCAGAAAAAGATCAGGATATCATACAGGATAATCTGGATGATCTTGTAAATTGGAGTGATAGGAGTAGGATGAAACTTAATAGTAAGAAGCGTAAGGTTATGCATTTAGGGATTAATAACAAGAATTTTAGTTATAAGCTGGGGACACATCAGTTGGAAGTAACGGAAGAGGAGAAGGACCTTGGAGTCCTGGTTGATCACAGGATGACTATGCGCCACCAATGTGACATGGCCGCGAAAAAGGGTAATATGGTTTTGGGATGCATTAGGCGAGGTATTTACAGTATACATAAGGAGGTGTTAGTGCCATTATATAAGGCATTGGTGAGACCTCATTTGGAACACTGTTTGCAGTTCTGGTCTCCCATGTTTAAGAAGGATGAATTCAAACTGGAACACGTAGAAAGAAGGGCTACTAGGATGATTCAAGGAATGGAAAACCTGTCTTATGAAAGGAGACTTAAGGAACTTGGCTTGTTTACCTTAACCAAAAGAAGGCTGAGGGGAGATATGATTGCTCTCTTTAAATATATTAGAGCGATAAATGCCAGGGAGGGAGAGGAATTATTTAAGCTCAATACCAATGTGGACACAAGAACAAATGGATATAAGCTGGCTAGTAGGAAGTTTAGACTCGAAATTAGGCATAGGTTTCTAACCATCAGAGGAGTAAGTTCTGGAACAGCCTTCCAAGGGAACTAGTGGGGACAAAAAACGCCTATCTTGCTTCAAGATTAAGCTAGATGGGTTTATGAAGGGGATGTTTATGAGATAACATGATCTTGGCAATTGACCTTTCACTATCAGTGGTAAATAGGCCAATGGTGGGAAGATAGGAGTTACTATAGAGAACTTTTTTTCTAGGTGTCTGGTTGGTGAGTCTTGCCCACATGCTCAGGGTTCAGCTGATCGCCATATTTGGGGTCGGGAAGGAATTTTCCTCCAGGGTATTTGTGAGAGGCCCTGGAGGTTTTTCGCCTTCCTCTATAACATGGGGGGGGGGGGTCACTTGCGGGAGGATTGTCTGCATCTTGGGATCTTTAAACCATCATTTGAGGACTTCAGTATCTGAGATATAGGTGAGTAGTGGGTGGGTGAGATTCTGTGGCTGCATTGTGCAGGGGGTCAGGCTAGATGATCATAATGGTCCCTTCTGACCTTAAAGTCTATGAATTAACTTGTCACAGACTGGAAAATTGAAATATGGAGATTAAGGGTCAAATTTAACCCTGTTTTTTCTCCATTAAGTGCCACAGACTAATAAATATTTATTTTAGCAGCGTCTATAATGCAGTATGTGATTTCCAAACAGGGAAAGCAAAATGCCAAATGGGGTCGTATTTGTTTGAAAGCAAACTAAAACAATTCCTCCTCCCCTTAATTACAATATTAACGTGTGTCCATATATGTTTCTGGCAGGCAACCTTGTTCTGTGCTTTCGAGAATTTAGGCTCTGAGAGCAAGTGTAATAGGCAAGGCAAGTACACAAGCTAATGATGTAAAATATTTTTGTGGGGATCAAGCTTTAGTTCACCAATGCGCATAAAATACAATCAGATGAGAATTAATGTTTAGTACTTGTTCTCACTCTTATTTCAAGGTGTTTCTGAAAATTGACAAGTTTGGAAATGGACTAGAGATTGATCAGGCTCGACTAGGAAAGTGTAAACAGCTTGGAGATGTATTTACTGAAGAGAAATTCCGTTACATGTGCATTCTCTCTGGTTGTGACTACCTTCCATCACTTCATGGAATTGGGTTAGCTAAGGCATGCAAGCTATTAAAACTAGCCAGCAATCCTGATATTATAAAGGTAATGTACACTCAGATTAGAAATCCTAAAATATCAAAGTCTTTATATATGTCTAAGATGTTATTGAAAATATCTGAGAAATTGGGCATCATGAAGGGTGTTCTAAAAATGCAGGTAGTTAAGGAGGTGCCTATCAAAGGAAATGTTCCAGTGATGTTGAAGAATAGTGTGTTTCATTAATATAACAGTATATTGACTTAAGCATTGGAAAACTGTATCCCAACAATTAAATAAAACAAATGCTGGCTTAATCTGATTCTTCGAGAATAAATAGTACATATAGACAGATTTTTCAAAGATTGTTATTCATGATATCCTTTATGTACTCCTTGTGGTGCAGTCCCACAAAGCCATCCCACAACTTTTAAATTGATTTCAGATTGTGCCAGATTCTGTGTGGTGGTTCTGTGTAAGAATGCCTCAAGGAAGAAGTGTCACCTTCTTTTTTTCTGTTCCCTCTGTGTGTTGAAAGTCATGCATGATTATTTTTTATAATTATGGACAAACAATATGTATGACATCATACAAGACATTAACATAAAGGCAGTTCTTTCCCCACTGAGCGTACACCTAAAATTAACCTGACACACTGAAAAATCCAGAGGATAGATTTAGTTTGAAATTGTACTTCCTTTATGTTGTTTATTAACTTCTTCTGAACAATATGGAAGAAGAGTTCTTGAGGAATAATAAACATGAAACCTCACAATGTTATTTTGGAGGCATGGTAGCACTAATCCAGCAAACCAAGTTCAGTTAACTTCAACTGAACTATTCATAAAATTAAACATTGCCTAAGTGCTCTGCTTGATCTGGACCTCTTGAAGTTTAAAAAGTGCTATTCCTCTCTATTTCACACACCTTTTGTTAACGCTATTTGACTTGCTAATCAAACTTTCTTAATATCAGAAGGAATTCTTGTAGATTTTTTCCATTGTTTAATTACAATTTTCACTATTAAGATAAACCTGTACTTTAAAAAAGGGAAGTATGCCTAGCTTAGTTAAACAGTGAAATTTGTGAAATCTGAAACGCTCTTATTTGCTAATCTCACATGAAGCATTTCAGCAGTAAATATTCTGAGCCAATAATTGAGCAACAAGTATATTGGTCCAACGGTGTATGAAACAGCATTCATATTTCTCTTTGAAATGAGTTACACTAAAAAATAATTGGAAAAAACAGGAAAAAAAACCTTGCAAAATATGTTCCCTGCCTTACCTCTTTGGTTTACTCATGTTTTTCAGTTTAGTTTCTTTGAGTGTAAAATTGCTCATATCTTAATGCATCCTTCTCAATATACTTGTCTCAGCACTTCCTGCCAATTAGTGAATTCATAAGAACCACCAAAAAAGTAGCTACATTCAACAAGTTAAGGTTAACCGGTGGGAGCTGGAGTAGGGATGTCAACGTGTAGATGACTACACAATTAACCGATAAGCCTGGGTTTATCCTGTGAACTACACACATTCCCCCCACTCCTTGCTGCTTCTGTATCTGAATGGTTAACTGGTTAAACATATTGGTAAAATGGTTAAATATACCGTTTAATTTGTTGACCAATTAAAGGAAGAAGGAACTGGGGGTGGGAGGGAAACGGGTGAACCAGTCCAACTGGGCTGGAGTGCGCCCCCCCCCCCCACTGCAGGCAGAGGTTGCTCCAGCCTAGGGATGTTAGAATGTGTGTAATTGAATAGTCGTGTAACCGCATGAAATTTTAACAGTTACACGACTATTCAGTAGTCCCCAGGGGCGGGACCGTCAGCCAGTGCTCTCCTAGTCCCTCTCCTGACAGGTGGGAGCCGGTCTGTGAGGGGAGCTAGTCTGTGCAGGAAGAAAGACAGCTCTGCCTGCCACGGTGCACTGCTGCCACTGATACAGATGCAGCTGTGCTAGGTGTCGGGGCTGACTATTCAATTACATGCTATCTAACATCCATAGGCTGGAGCAGTCTTTGCCTGTAGTGGGAGTGGGGGGAGGCATGCCAGCCCAGTTGAGCTGGAGCACCCCTTACCCTTCTCCCTTTTATTAATTAACCAATTAAACAGGACCAGGATTTTACATCCCTAGTTAATGGTGTGGCAGGCAATATGAAGGTGGAAAGTAAAGCACAAGTCACTCTGCATTAAATTTTTTCTCCTGTTTTTAAGGATTTGGATTACTATAATGTGCCCTTCCGAAACCTTAACTGTTGCTAAATAAATGTTTTGTCTGCTAATGTAAAGTGTCTATGTATTTATATAAAATGTGTGCGTGAAGGCAGTTCTATTACATTACTCCACCACGCATTTCTATACTGTGCTAACAGCAGCTTTCCATCTAGTCAGTTACCTCCTCTAGGATATTTGGAATAATAGGTTTGAAGACATGCATGGTATTGCATTTCCTGTGGTTGGAAGTGACAAGAAGGCGTTGTTGTTGTTGTTGTTTTTGTTGACAGGTTATTAAGAAAATTGGGCAGTACCTGAAAATGAATATAACTGTATCTGAAGAGTACATAGAAGGATTTATTCGAGCCAATAATACTTTTCTTTATCAACTGGTTTTTGATCCAGTCAAGAGGAAACTTGTTCCTCTGAATGCTTATGATGACAACATTGATCCAGAAACGCTACTTTATGCAGGGCGGTATCCTTTCTGCTCTGGCATATTACGGGGAAAGTAAGGTGGCATAGTGGGTTTCTTTTCTTCCTTTCCTTTACAGCTTTCTCCATTATTATACAGGAGGCTTTTGTTTGATCAGTCAGCCTAGCTAAAGTTAAGTCTGTCTGTCTTCAGCTTTTTAAAGCATTGCAGTCACCAGAAGAAAACAACTTTGTTCTAAACCCACAAATATGGCTTTAATTAGCTTAACTTTAGACTGAATTTAGGCTTTTTTTAGATGGTGTATACCAGTGGTCTCCAACCTTTTTACACCCAAGATCACTTTTTAAGTCTCAGAACAGACGAAGATCTACCGCCCCGCCCCTTCTTTGAAGCCCCGCCCCTTCTTTGAAGCCCCGCCCTCTCTATTCTCCTGTCCATCACTTGCTATCCCCAGCCCTTATACATTGTTAAACAGTTTATTTTTAAATTATGCAGTATATAAAATTAAAATCATGTTTATAGTTATGAAATAAATGGTTTGTTTTTAATTCATGCTATTATACATTTTGTTCTCTGCTATTTTGTAAATCTAAAATCAAGTATTGATAATTATATATTTTTTCTTCCAATAACAAAGTCTCAGTGTGACACCTGTGACTGAACAGTGTGTTGAAGTCTGGGTTGTAGTCTGAGATTGCTAGTCGTATACAGTCCATCAGATGGGCATCTGTGATCCTGCGCTCAGCCTGGAAAGCTTGCTCCAGCACAGCTGGAGCTAGACGCAGCCTCCCTGGGCTGAGCGCAGGGCAGCCGGGCTAGAAGGAAGAGAAGTGGCTGCCCGGCCAGCTGGCCATGGCGCTCAGCTAGGGTGCACCAAGCTCCACGTGGGCAGGCGCAGAGGAGAAGCTGCCAATCAGCTGGAGTGCGGGACAGCCTCTTTCAGCTGAAAGCCACAGCTGGGGTATTTCAGCCCTCCCAACCTCCCAGCTCCCACCATTCCAGCTCCCACCATTCCTCGCAGCTACTCACCTGTGTTGTTGCTCAGTGAGTAACTGCTCCTCAAATGAGGAAATCTAATGTATATGTACTGCGCAGGCACGCAGTTCAGAGAGGACTCAAGAGCTACTTTTAGAGCCCCTGAGATCTACCGGTAGATCGCGATCTACTGTTTGGTTGCCACAGGTGTATACTATGTGTGGTGGGAAGGTGATTCTTGTAATGCCCCCATTTGCTGTGGTTAGGCAAAGGGGAGGGGCAAAATCTGTGGGGTTTTTGGGTGTTGGCATTTCCCCATCATTTGTCTTCCTCTAACTCCCAGCATGACGGAATAAGAAATCATTTAGGAAAGGAGACATTATGAGCTACCTTGCAACTTTGGTACACCTGCCAAGCTGCTGTGGGGAGTGACTAATAGAGACTTCTGTGTGTTGGAACCATCTCTGTTTCTCCTGCCTGCTCCCTAGTAATGTCTAGTGGCTTCTTTTCTTTGAACTCTTTTGTGACCTACCCTCATTCTCCAGGACTCCCAGGTGCTGCTACTGAATGAGGTGAGGGGTAAGGAGCATGCCCAGCAGCATATGGTAGTCTTTGGATGTTTACTCTTTGGATTGTTCTTATTGCATATGTTAATATAGAAAATAGAGTAGAAGTTGTAATTGTCTTAGCATTTGTATGTTACATATAAAATATACAGATATATACATATCCCCTTAATTTGATTAATTTAGACATATTGGTGATGCTGCTGCTTTTCAAATTGCTCTTGGCAATAAAGATATTGATACATTGCAGCAAATTGATGACTACAACCCTGATGCATCACAGGTAACATTGTTTGTTTTTAAAACATTTAATATAGGATTTTGACATGCTATTGGAATTGCAAGGGTTGTGTGGTTGAATGTTACCTACAATGATATCAAGGAGTACAAGCTGGTTTGTTATGATAGATATATATGGCACTCAAGGAGTCTGAAATACTAATAAGGGTCAAGCAGCAACAGAATACAAATTTTTGGTGCCTACCCTAAGGAGATGTTAATGTGTACTTGTGTACATGGTTAGCCTATAAACCTGGGCTCATCAGTTAATCTGTAAGATTCTCTCGTCCCCTGCTGTTTGGAGGGGAGGTGGGAGCCAACTTTTAAGCTAGTGGAGTCCTCTTCCTCTTCTACCTCTGCACTACTGTTGGGAGGCAGCAGCAGGGGGGGACGGATGGTTATGTGGGGAACCAGCTTTCAGGTCAACTCCCCATGCATACCGACTCCCCCTGAGCCAACTGCCCTCTCTCCCCCCATGCTGCTGCCCCTGTATCATAGGGGATGGAGATGGGAGTCAGTTGAAAATTTCAGCAGTTAAAATATTTTTTTTGTAAAAATGTAACATCCCTAGTCCACCCTAACTTTGATCACTAATGCTTTGAAAAGCATCCTGTATTTAGGTGACACACAATTTTCTGAGAGAATTTTTGCCTTTTTTTTTTAATTTCTCAGTCGTTCCAAAAAGATTAAATAAAGCTCATATTTATTAGTATCTTCTGTGGTTTTCTTTCCCAGTAAAATATAACAGTTTCATGTCCATTTTGTCATTGACTGGCCCTGACTTAGAAAATCACTTAAATCTGTGATTGTGTCCCTTTGAAGTCCATGGGAATTCAGCATTTGTTCATAGCCTTTCCTAAATTTGAACTATAAACAGTTTTTTGAGTTCAAGAAGCCTCATGAAATGAA